GTGATCGGCATATGAAACTATGAGTTAACCTTTCCTCTATTTCATTTTGGAATTCATCACTTCCAAAGAGAAAGAAGCCTACAAATAAAGCCCGGGGTAGATTCCCATTTCTGCCTCCGAACGTAGGGGGCCTGTGGGCACAGAGCCAGAGGAGCAGCCCCACTTACTTGAAGGCTGGGGATTCTAAAGACCTCCTCCAAATGGCACAGACCACTTTCACTCAAGTCTAAAATCGGTGAGGAGGAAAAGATGATGCCTCCAACACACTTGTGAACATCTTTGCGGGGGGTGGCAGGCAAGCTCCTAGTCTGACCAGCACCCTCCTCCAGATCAGCAGCAGCCACAGAGGGAACTGTGTGGGAGACGCTTCCCTCCATCCGTTCTCTTCCAGGGACAGCAGCTCATCCTCCTTGGTCTGGAGTCACCTGGAGACACAGGAAGGGAAGATGTAGAAACAACTAATTATACTGAAGCAAAACAGAATAGCTGTGTGGCAGATCTACAGTAATTTAACTTGCTTTAAAAGCTATCATTTTTCGGCTGGGCGCCGTGGCTCACACCTGTAACCCCAGCACTTTGAGAGGCCGAGATGGGCGGATCACGAGGTCAGGAGATCGAGACCACAGTGAAACCCCGTCTCTACTAAAAAATACAAAAAAAATTAGCCCAGCCTGTACAGGTGGCAGGCGCCTGTAGTCCCAGCTAGTCGGGAGGCTGAGGCAGGAGAATGGCGGGAATCCAGGAGGCTGAGGCAGGAGAATGGCGGGAACCCGGGAGGCGCAGCTTGCAGTGAGCTGAGATCGCGCCACTGCACTCCAGCCTGGGCGACAGAGCGAGACTCCATCTCAAAAAAAAAAAAAAAAAAGCTATCACTTTTCATAAGCAGTAGCAAAAATTTGACTTTTAAACATGTAAAAAAAAAAAAAAAAAAAAGGAATACAAAGAGGTTCAGATTAAAATTCTCTGCTTTCGCTTTGTACAATGGAGTTCCAAGATTTAACTACTGGAAAACGCAAAGGCGCACAATAAATAGGAATGATCGTTTTAGGGATATAAACAGATCAGAACACTTCAAAGCCTGTAAACCAACTGTAACGCTTCCATGAAATGATTGGGGTCGGGGGGAGTTTGCACTGTTTCTTATCTCTGGTGTGGTTCTGTGCCTTTTGAAATATGTTTTTAGTTCCTTGAGGTCAGGAAGCCTGTCCTTTGTTTACCATTTTGGCCCAGTGACCAGAACTCAGTCTGGCTAACACCCAGTTAAGCACTGGGGAAAAACCTGTTAAATTAAGAACCTTAAATTTTCGTTGTCCGGCAACACTTTCACTCAGAACTATTGTTCACCAAAACCTCATTCAGCGAGGCACACTTCCACTTGCAATTTCCAAACAATTTATTCGGCAATAAGAATCAACGTTGGAATGCACCAGTTCATCTAATTCAAATCACTCAACAGCCCAATGATTGGCATATGTGTGTGCACTTCATTCCCGTTTTAGGGAGGAGGAGGCTGAGGCGTAGATCAGTTAGGGAACTGCTGCAGGGGCGCAGTTAATTGGGGGGTAGCGGCGACACTGGGACCCAGCAGGGTTCGACCCCAGGCGGCCTACATTCCATGGAAGTCTGCGGGCTTTTTCACGGTCAGTTCACTTGTTTTCTCCGAATCACGGAACTTAAAACAGAGGAGGGGAGGCTTCAAACCTCAGAACAGGGAAAATATCTTAAAACCAGAAGTGAAACGACAGCCTGGACTTACACAGCGCCCAGGCAGCGCGGGCTCAGTGGGGTTTCCGAGGCTGCCTTCAAGGGATCCCCACGCACGCCCACCCCCGCTCCCTGCCTCGGTTTCCCCATCCGGGCGAGGCTGAGTTGGATTCGACGCTCTGGGCCTCACATTCCAGGCCTGAGGAATGTAGCCTTTGCCGTCAGAATCCGGGCTGGAGCTACGCGACAGAGCACGAGGGGCCGCGGCACCACCTTCCTGCCACCGCCCGCCTCGAGGGCCCAGCGAGCTGGCCGTGCCCGCCCGTCTCACCTGCCGCGCCCCGGCTCACGGGAGCGCGGACGAGTCCCGCCGCTGAGAGCTGCAGCCCAACAATGGAGGCCACCCAGACAACGCGGTCGCCATGGAGACGCGGGTACCGAAGCCCGCAGGCGCCAACCCGCGCGTGGGGTGTGTCCGTGGTGCGCCTGCGCGAGGGGTGTGGTGCGCCTGCGCGCGGGGGTGTGCCTGTTGTGGCGGTTTGTGCCTGTATGCGGGGGCGGGGTGTGGTGCGTCTGCGCGGGGAGGGGGTGGTTGCGCCGGCGGTGAGGAGGTTGTGGTGCGCCTGCGCGGGGGCACATGTGTGGTGCGCCTGCGCGCGGGTTGTGGTGCGCCTGCGCACGCACGCGACCAACGGCAGCATCCATTTTTCCGCGCCAGCTGCCGCGGAGGGGCGGTGACAGACGGGCAAGTAGAGACCCAGACGGTTTGGAGGGGCGAGCGGCTTGGCACAGAGGGGAAGGAAGACAGCGGAATGCTGAGTGTTGTCTGGGGAGCCGGAGGGCCCGGGGCGGGCGGGGCTGCTCGAGGACAGCCGAGCAGAAAAGAATTGGTGCCTCTGGAGCCGCCCTCGCTGCCTGCCCTTCCCGCCGGGCTCAGTCCCCGCTTCTCTCCTGGGGTTTCCTGGTGTCACTTCCCACCTGAGCTGCTTGTCCCCAAATCTTGCCTCAGGGCTTGCTCCCAGGGGAACGCAGACTCAGACTGCCCTCCTCGGAGAAGTAAGGCTCCTCTGCTGAGTCTCCTGCCGTGGACGGAGGAGTGAGGGGGGCGAGGAAACGCAGTGAGTGTCCTGAGGAAGGGTTTTGAGAATTTGTGAGATGATGAAATGACACGGGCGGAAGGGGAGGTGCTCCGTGGTCATGTGGAACCCTATAGTCCCGTGCACCTTCATTCCTGGATCCAACTGTTAATGAAAAGTAGCACCCTCCATCCGGTCCAGAAACACTCTTGAAACCCGGGCAGTTTAGCTGGAGCCAGCCATAATTTCTTTCTTTTTTTTTTTTCTTGAGATGGAGTCTTGCTCTGTCTCCCAGGCTGGAGTGCAGTAGCGTGATCTCGGCTCACTGCAACCTCCGCCTCCCAGGTTCAAGCAGTTCTCCTGCCTCAGCTTCCCCAGTAGCTGGGACTACAGGTGCCTGCCACCACGTCCAGCTAATTTTTGTATTTTTAGTAGAGACGAGGTTTCACCATGTTGGCGAGGCTGGTCTTGATCTCCTGACCTCGTGATCCGCCCGCCTGGGCCTCCCAAAGTGCTGGGATTGCAGGCGTGAGCAACCGGCGGCCGGCGTGATTTCACCTTTTTAAGGAAACAACATATGTGGGGAAACGACTACCCACTTAGGGGAGTTACATTTTATTTTTGTGAAGATCACAATAAGAAATGTTTTCAGGCCAGACACGATGGCTCATGCCTGTAATCTCAGCACTTTGGGAGGCCACGGTGGGAGGATCGCTTGTGGCCAGGAGTTTGTGACCAGACTGGGCAACCCAGTCTCTACAAAAAATTAAAAAAAAAAAAAAAAAGGTGGTGTGGTGGCACACACCTGTAGTTCCAGCTGTGTGGGAGGCTGAGGCAAGAGGATCGCTTGAACCTAGAAATTTGAGGCTGCAGTGAGCTATGATTGTGCCACTGAATGTCAACCTGGGTGACAGAGCGAGACCCTGTCTCAAAAAAAACGTTTTCGTACGTACCCAACTATCGTACCAGTCAGGAAGCTGAAGGCACAACCAGTACCTTCCCAGGAGTGTGGGGAGGCCAACCTCCCGGGCAGAGCAAGGAGAGAATAGGGAGTGGCATGGGTAGTGCCACGAGCAACAGCGAAAGGGATGGAAGATTTCAGCACAATGCTGTTTCTAACAAGGTTCAGCATTCCAGTATCTCTTTTCACAAATAAAACATTTACTAACAATTTGGGCCTGTTCCCTCTTGCTTGTTATTGTTGCCTCAGGTTTTTGTTTCACATTTTTCATGCTAAATTAATTTTTGTAGTCAGTAGTTAATTGTTTGTAAGAGCATGTTTTGCCCTTTTCTGTTCTCAGTTTTTACCCAGCCGGATCGCATCCATTGGTAGCCTTTTGGCAAGCATTCTTGGGTGAGCCTCCCAACGTAGGAACGAATGAAGTGTTCATTTTGATCTGATTATTGAGTGGCTATGAAGCTGGTGCGGCATGTGGTGGTTTTAGAACCTTACTCTGGGGCAGCAACTGCTGCTACCCTGCCGAGAAGTTTGCTGCCCGTGGCATTGCCACTTCCATGAAGGAAATCGGCCTTCTCTTTTCATGTCTTTGTTCTGAAATTCTGCTGTGGTATTTCTGAGTGTGGGTTGGTTTGGCTATGCTGTCTGGCGCTGGCCGTGTCTTCTCACCTGAGATAGCAAGGTTCTCGGCCATGTGTCCTCCCGTGGCACCTCTACACCCTGACGAAATTCTTGTTCTGGGATCTCCTAAAAGGGAGTAGGTTGCACCCACTTAGTGTCTTCTCCATCTCTCAAACTGCGCTTCCCAATGTTGGTCTCTGTGTTCTGGGTTTACGATCTTCCAGTTTACTAGCTCTCTCTCCGTCCAATTAGTTTGTTTCATCGATTGAGTTTTTAAATGAAACCACATTGGTCTGTATTTCTAATTTTCTTTTTTGTGTCCATTTGTTTTTATTCCAGTTTTTGTTTTGTAATGTTTTTAATGTTCATTGCTATTTTCTTTCTTTATCTACCATGAGAATCCTAAGCACATCTATTTATTTATTTTATTTATTTTTTGAGATAGGGTCTCAGTCTGTCACCCAGGCTGGAGTGCAGTGGTGTGATCTTGGCTCACTGCAGCCTTTGCTTCCCAGATTCAAGCAATCCTCCCACCTCAATCCCTCAAGTAGCAGAGACTACAGGCATGTGCCGCCATGCTGGGCTAATTTTTGTATTTTTTGTAGAGACGGGGTTTTACCATGTTGCACAGGCTGGTCTCGAACTCCTGAGCTCAAGCTATCCACCCGCCTCGGCCTCCCAAAGTGCTAGGATTAGAAGCGTGAGCCACTGCCAGGCCCGAGCCACTGCCTGGCCTAGACACACTTATTTTAAACTGTGCTCTATTGTTTTCTGGGCTGAATATACCTGTTGATGCCTGATACCGTTATCTGTCTTCTTGGAGTCCTGTGTTTTGAAATCTAGGCTTGCAGGCTTCTGCAAAGGGGGTTATGTTCTGTTTCCCTGGGTATTCACTGTGTGTCATGCTCTGGCAGGAGCCTCCGTCCAGCCTTTTGGGGTCATGCTTGGGTGCTTGCCTTGCCTTGCCGTTGGGAGCTGTAGATCCAGTCCTGGAGCCAGCAAGAGGCTAGGCCGAGGGCTGTCCTCGTCTCTATCCCCAGATATCGCTGCAGAAGTGGTATGTTTTCCCACATTCCTTTCATGGAAGTGAAACTGCCTTAGAAAATTATAACTGAGGAAATTATGATAGTGAAAGAGATCAGACCTAACCGACTCCATCTTGCTTCTAACTTTTAAGCTGTCCTTGTTCATTCCTGGGCGTAGGCTGAACTAACGTTGGGAAGGAACTCTGAAACAAAATGGGTAACCGCCCTTTCCCGAAAATACCCCCTTCTTGCCCAGGGACCAGTCTGTCTTTGCAGGACTGACAAATTAGCTACAGTATTAGAAATTACAGGTTAGGGATCCTGCGCCTCTGGCTCCAAGAGTCTAAACCTCCCCAAATTGCTCCTGGGTATGACATCATTATTGTAAAACCCTAGATCAGAGCTTGAGATACTTTGCAAACCCAGCACTCCATAGATCAGCTGACACCACCCAGACCCATTATCTGGCTCCACAGGTTCTGGCTCCCACCGGGAGTAGAAAACAGCAAGGAAACCTCACTTCGACCCCCTGTGATTCCATCTCCAGCCTGACCAGTCAGCGCTCCACATGTCCCAAAGCCCCACCCTCCGAATTAGCTTTGAAAACTCTGATCCCAGAATGTGCGGGGAGACTGACTGAGTGATAGTAAAACCAGTCTCCTGCACAGCCGGCTCTGCATGAATGACTCTTTCTCCGCTGCAATTCCCCTGTCTTGGTAAATCGGCTCTGTCTAGGCAGCAGGCAAGGTGAACCCACAGGGCAGTTACAGAGGCAAGAGACTTCCTCCAGCCCTGGTTTTCAGCGATGCTGTTGGCTGTTCTCCACTGCTCTCAGGCACTTTCTGCCCCTCACTCTTCAGGGACAGCCTTCCCAAGCACCTTTCCCTCTTTCTCGGACCAGAGCCCCCACAGGCCCAAAGTCTGGGTCCTGTGAGCTGCTGTGTGTTTCCGATTCATTTTTGGTCTATGAACTGTTGTTGGTTTTTAAATTTGTCTTTTAAAAATTATCTGTCATAGGCCAAGCATGATGGCTCACACCTGTAATCCCAGTGCTTTGGGAGGCTGAGGCGGCCGGATCACCTGAGGTCAGGCGTTTGGACCAGCCTGACCAACATGGCGAAACCCCCGTCTCCACTAAAAATACAAAAATTATCCGAGCATGGTGGTGCATACCTGTAGTTCCAGGTATTCAGGAGGCTGAGGCAGGAGAATTGTTTGAACCTGGTAAGCAAAGGTTGCAGTGAGCCGAGAGCATGCCACTGCACTCTGGCCTGGGTGACAAAGCGAGACTCCATCTCAAAAAAATTAAAAAAAAAAAAAAAAAAAAAAAAAAATTACCTATTGTAGCCATGGGTGGGGAGAATTGTGGGAGGGCCTCTGTATTAGTTTGTTTTTATGCTGCTGATAAAGACATACCCAAGACTGGAAAGAAAAAGAGGTTTAGTGGACTTACAGTTCCACATGGCCGGGGAGGCCTCACAAGCATAGTGGAAGGTAAGGAGGAGCAAGTCACATCTTAAATGGAGGGCAGCAGGCAAAAAGAGAGAAAGCCTGTGCAGGGGAACTCGCCTTTCTAAGCCATCAGATTTCGTGAGACGTGTCCACTGTCACGAGAACAGCCTGGGAGAGACCTGCCCCATGATTCAGTTACCTCCCACGGGGTCCTTCCCGTAACGCATGAGAATTCAAGATGAGATTTGAGGGGAGACGCAGCCAAACCGTGTCAATCTCTAAGCTTGAACTTGCAATACCATCTTGCCCAGAGAAAGTAATATTTTCCAATACAGGAAATAAAACAGTTTTGCTCTGCTTTAGTTTTTTTATGTAATACCTTATTGTGAAGCTGCTGTAAGTTATGTGTGATGTTTTTGCAATAATTAATATTCTTCTACATTGTAAACCAAAAACAAAATTCTAAAGTCCCCCAACCAACTGAATGAACCCCTCTTCTCAGTCAAGGGGATTCCAAAGAAACCTGAAAAACTAGTTCAGACCATTACAAGCAGTGAAGGATTGGGCATGCTTCATGATACTCCTCTCCTTTTTGGGGGTTAGGCAAACTCACTAGCATTAACATTAAAATAGAGATCTTGGCCGGATGAGGTGGCTCACGCCCGTAATCCCAGCACTTTGGGAGGCCAAGGCAGGCAGATCACTTGAGGTCAAGAGATCGAGACTACCCTGGCCAACAAGGGGAAACCCCATCACTACTAATAGTACAAAAATTAGCTGGGCGCACACCTATAATTCCCACCACTCGGGAGTCTGAGGCACAAGAATTACTTGAACCCAGCAGGTGAGGTTGTAGTGAGCCGACAATGCACACTGCACTCCAGCCTGCTGACAGAGTGAAACTGTGTCTCAAAAATTAAAATAGAGATCTTAAGACTGACAGAATAGACTGTAGCAATAAGATACCAACTCCAACTGACTCTGGCGTAATATCACATGGCAGATAAAGAAGGAAAGCAAGATAATTACCCCCAAATTTGTTTCTTTTCCATAACTTGAAATGGTCCTGCAAAGCTGTCTTTTGTGGGGCAGAGATTTGTATCTGTAAAGAATCTGTAACATAACTAGATCTTTACCCTTCCAGGCCTTCCCAATCCTGAAGAGATGAACTGAAAGTCTAGCATCTTTTAAAGATCAACACAGGAAACCATGTTAGTCCATTTTCACGCTGCTAATAAAGACCTACCAGCCGAGTACCGTGGCTCACGCCTGGAATCCCAGCACTTTGTGAAGCCAAGGCCGGCGGATCACGAGGTCAGGAGATTGAGACCATCCTGGCTAACACAGTGAAATCCCATCTCTACTAAAAACACACAAAAAAATAGCCGGGTGTGGTGGCAGACACCTGTAGTCCCAGCTACTTGTGAGGCTGAGGCAGGAGAGTGGCGTGAACCTGGGAGGCAGAGCTTGCAGTGAGCCGAGGTCGTGCCACTGCACTCCAGCCTGAGCGACAGAGCGAGACTCCATCTAAAAAAAAAAAAAAAAAAGACATACCAAAGACTGGGCGATTTACAAAAGAAAGAGGTTTCATTGCACTTATAGTTCCACCTGGCTGGGGAAGCCTCACAATCATGGCGGAAGTCAAGGAGGAGCAAGTTGTGTCTTACCTGAATGGCAGCGGGCAAGAACTTGTGCAGGGAACTCCTCTTTTTTTTTTTTTTTTTTTTTTTTATGAGACGGACTCTCGCTCTGTCACCAGGCTGGAGTGCAATCTCGGCTCACTGCAATCTCTGTCTCCCGGGTTCAAGCCATTCTTCTGCTTCAGCCTCCCGAGTTGCTGGACTACAGGTGCCCACCACCACGCCTGGCTAATTTTTTATATTTTTTAGTAGAGACAGGGTTTCACCGTGTTAGCCAGGATGGTCTTGATCTCCTGACCTCGTGATCCACCTGCCTTGGCCTCCCAAAGTGCTGGAGTTACAGGTGTGAACCAGTGCACCCAGCCGGGGAACTCCTCATTTTAAAACCATCAGCTCTCATGAGACTTATTCACTATCATGAGAACAGCGCGGGAAAGACTTGTTCCCATGATTCGATTACCTCCCACTGGGTCCCTCCTACAACACGTGGTAGTTCAACATAAGATTTAGGTGGGGACACAGCCAAACCATATCAGAAACGTCAGAATTTACCATCAATTGTTTCTAACGGTAGCCACCAATGAGACTTCATCTCCTAATAAGAACCTTGGTCTCCACAACCCTTAACCCAGACACTCCTTTCTGTTGATTCATTCCAGGTCTTTAGATAATAATTATTTCAACCAATTGTCAATCAGAAAATCTTTGAATCCACCTATGACCTGTAAGCTCACTCTCCTGCATCTCTCCCCATCCCACTTTCAGTCGTCCTATCTTTCTGGACCAAACCAATGTATACCTCACATGCACTGATTGATGTCTTATGTTCCCCTAAAATATATAAAACCAACTTGCAACCCAACCCCCTTGGGCACATCTCAGGGTCTCTTGAGACTGCCTTGGGCCATGGTCACTCGTATTTAGCTCAGCCCTCTTGAATTTATTTCAACCCTCTTGAAGTATTTGACAGAACTTGACTCTCTGTCAACAACAACAAAAGAAAGGCAGTCTTTTTTTTAAAATGTAAAATATACTTGATAGAAAGTTGAATGTAAGGACAATACACATTTCTATATAAGTTTACAGATTTCAAAATGGCCTAAAATTGTTTTTGGAAGATGTTCAAAATGCCGCTGGCAGCTGATTCCACTTCTGCTGTGCTGCGCCTGCTAAGCCAATCGTCAGACAATGTGACAGCTGGAATACATTGCTCTTCCTTGAAAAGGGTTCAGGCTGCAAAGTGAAGATGGCCTCTGTTTCCTCATGTAGGCCTTCTGAGAGCACAGCACAGGACTGGGATTGTGCCAGGAAGATGTGGAATGGTGTGGAAAGACAAGACGCTGCAGCCTTCAGGCTGCCATGGAAAAGCTGGGGGTGTGTTCTGTGGCCCATCAGGAGGGGGTGTGTGATGAATTATGAATGAATTTCTCAGATGAGCCAAAGTGGTGAACTTGTCTCAGTACCCAGGGAGACTCAGCCTCATCCCCTAGCTCTTGGCCTCCACTTTCCCAGCTGCTGTGGTTGGAGTGGGTCCCCGGAATTCATCTGTTGGAAATTTGGTCCAGGTGTGGGGGTGTTGGGAGGTGGGGTCTTTAAGGTGTGGTTAGGCCATTAAGAGATTCAGGCTGCTCTTTAGGGACTGGTTAATTCTTGAGGGAGTGAGTGGGTTCCCACTCTCTCCGGACAGCATTAATTTCCACAAGGTTGGGTTATTATAACATGAGGCCATCCCTCATGTTTTGTCCCACTCCCTCTTCCACTTTCCTTCCATGTCATGATGCAGGACAAAAGCACCACCAGAAGCTGTTGCCGTGCTCTTGGGCTTCCCAGCCTTCAAAAGTGTGAGTGAAGTAAACGTCTTTCCTGTATAAATCATAACCCAGTCTCAGGTATTCTTTATAGCAACAGAAAATGGACTTAGACAGTGGCCTTGAGACTTGGGTGCAAAATGATTTAGCTCCATCCATCACCCCATCCCAAGCCAGTTTCATTGCCTGTAAGCCTCTAATCCCCATGCACCCCACCTTCTATCTTAATTCTTTAACTTGAATTCATGTACCTAACATATACACAGGTTTTGGGGATTCAGACATCAACATCTGTGAGGGCCATTATTCTGTCTACCACAATTAGATCAGCACATCTCTTGGAAAGGAACTGTCTTTATTGGAGGAAATACATTGATGAGGTGCCAGGGTGGGCAACAGTCTGTGAACATTGGTGTTGGCCTAGGCCAGTGAGAACGCTAGGGATGGAGTCTTAAGCCAGCCAGTGATGGCCCTATTCAGTCCATACAGTTAAGAGAGATCAAGGATGAGTGACCAGGAAGCCAAGGGCAAGTGCCCCAGTAATAATCATGATTCCTGGCCCATTTCCAGACTTGAGCCAGGTTTTGGACCCAGAATGCATTGTGCAAGGAGAAATTGATTTGGTGGAAAATTACATGGTAAGTCTATTGTAAGGGGTAGGAAGAATTCCCAAGAGGTTCAACGAAAACTAAGCAACTGAAAAAGTCATTATTTCAGGAAGGACAAGCAGTAGGACAGGAAATAATCAGTACACAGAATGAAAGG